GGGGGGTGCTGGCCTTTTTAGACTAAATAGCTTGTATAGTGAAAGTGCTTATGTGCTTATTATGATGTAGCCAAATAAGGTCACCATTTTCTTTTGATTGAACAAATACATTGTTTTAGCTGGGCGGGTTCATTCCCATTTATTTTTTGGTCATTTGATTCTTTTCCAGAGAGTCCTGAAGAAATATCGATGAACAGATTCAACGAGAGTGAGAAGTTGCAACTGAGGACACCAAACAGGAATGCTCATGTAGCCTTCCTTTTGTGCTTTTTGTTTGAGGATGCTCCATTTGCTATTCTTTTCTCTGAAAATGAACCCAACCCTGATACATAACCCCAGCCATCTACAGATCTTGTTATGTAAGGATATAATGTAAAACCCTCTTTTATCATGTGTTCAGTGTGCGGTTGGCAGGTGCTCTGGTGTGGTTTGCTTCTTCTTTCCTATCAAACATCTATCGTCCTTGTCTCCCCTCCTCCTTCTCTATGTTTGTTACTCTCTCGTAACATCTTTGATCTTCAGCACTTAAATGACCTTATGTGTTGCAAGTGCCGTTAAACACTTTTACTAAAACTGACTGTCATGTGCTCACAGTGAGACTTCTTTGTCTTTCCATAGACCAGGAAACCTTTTTTTTTAGTCCAATCCTGTTGGTATGATGAATTTGTCAGTCAGTGTAAGGCTGGGAGCAGTTCACTGAGTCGCGTGGCCTGCTGTCTCAAGTCAGATTTAGGTGGCGTCGGTGGCCTAGTGGTTAGGTTAACTGTGAGACTGCAAGTTGGGGGGTTTGAGCCTCAGCTCGGTCCAACGTTGTGTCCTTGGGAAAGGCGCTTTACACGAAGTTCTCACTTGGCGCGGTCCTTTCGGAAATGGACGTTAAACTCGGAGGTCCCGCCTCTTAAATTAACCATATAGTGTTGATAAGGGCGTTAAACCCTTACCATTTCACTGGTGGTTGGAGGACACCACTGGTAAGCCCTACATCTTTACTTTCCCCTCGGTTGCTTCTGTCTGTCTGTCTGTCTGTCTGACTTTTCCCCAGCACTGAATGACTGTGGGCGGTTGGCGGGTGCTCTGGTGAGGTTTGCTCCTTCTTTCCTATCACTATGATACATCTGTCGTCCTTATCTCCCCTCCATCTTTTTTGTGTATGTTACTCTCTTGTAACACATTATGTATTCTTTGGCACTTATAATGACCTTATTGTGTTGCAAGTGCCGTAAAACTCTTACTAAAACGAAAAAACTGAATGACCATTATTGTGTCGATGTGCCTCTCTTTACTTAACAGAGTTATGTTATGTTAGAAAGATGTTATGGAGAAGTGATTTCAAAATAAGCTCTTGGTTATGTTGAATCCATGGTTGTTGTATAGAATCTATGTTATTTTGAACAGGCACAACCTCAAAATACATTCATCTTTTTAAACTTGGATCTGCTGTGTCTTTCTGTTGGTCCATTTAGTTATTGAGTAGTTATAATAAAAAAGTAAAAAAGACTAGAAGACTGTTCAGACTTCATGCTGGAAAGACTAGTAATTGTATTCTTCATGATGCGTTATAGTGTTAAACTCTAAATTTCTTTCGGAGGCATTTTTGGCAAAGTTTTGCTTGTGCTAAGAATCCAAAGGCTGTGAGTTCAAACGCAGTCATTTTTTTAAAAAGATGATCAAAATTGGTAGTGCCATAAGCTCAATTGACTCTCATCTCGGTTCTAATATCTTTCCTGGTATAATTCCAATTCTTTGATTTCTGTTAGATTCACCCAACCCTGTAGGAAAATGTTTTGTTGGGTTTCTAAAAAATGTTGTACAAATTCTGATTTTTTAAATGACATTACATGTCCCACCTTCATTGAAATAAATGTTTCCAGTGTATCCGTGTACATTTTCTGAGTTTTTAAATGACATTACATGTACCACCTTCCTTCCAATCAATGTTTCCAGTGTATCCGTGTACATTTTCTGAGTGTTTAATTAAAACCTGTGTTTTATTATGTGTACATGATGTAAAACTTGTACTTTAAGCAAGTGCTGGTTGTGGCAGGCTTCTTCTGGTCACTTCTGATTATTTTCTTTCTTTCTTTCTGTTGTAGTTTCTGTCTACCCTGCTTTTCCCATTCAAAGTGGAAGTGGGGCGGGGGGGGGGGGTGGTTGGCGTGTGCTCTGGTGTGATTTGTTCCATCTTTCCTCTATCAAAGATCTATTTATAATAATCTGCTGACCCTATCGAGGTTTTGTGAACTTTTGCAACTCCTCGTAGGGAGGCTTATCTGTAGTGCATGAGTATGAGTAGAATCTACAAATATTTTCCAGTGGGTAGGGAGTCTAAGGGAGTGGGAATTTCAACTTACTCTATCTCTTGACATGTAACGAGGAGAAGACATGACCATGTTTGTGCTTAATGATCTATATAACTCATACTGGCTGGTACGTTACACAGGGAGAAAGGGGAGAAGAAGAAGAACAAACAAATAAAACTTCGCGAAAACAAAACATTTGAAGGAGTCTGAGGCTCTGAAGAGATTGAAATCGTGGAACGTGTGGCCCACCCACTCTGAACGCCATCTATGTAAAATTGAAATCGTGGAACATGTGGCCCACCCACTCTGAACGCCATCTATGTAAAATTGAAATCGTGGAACATGTGGCCTCTGAACGCCATATGATAGATGCAAAAGTAGAAAACTACAATACAGTCGACGTTTTTTGGTTGGCTCTACTTGTAGTCAAGCACTGTCAAGTGGAACCCCAGGTCACATGGTCACCAGGATGGTGTACACTTGATTAGAAACATCCCTCACCATTAAAAATGTACTTTTAACACCATATACAGTGAGTGGTTGGCGGGTGCTCTGGTGTGGTTAGCTTCTTCTTTCCAATCAAACATATATCGTCCTTATCTACCCTTTTTCTTTTTTATGTTTGTTACTCTCTTGTAACACCTCTAATCTTCTGGCGCTCATATGACCTTATGCAGTTGCGAGCGCCGTAAAAGCAAAAGCTAACACCATACACACTCACACAGTAAAGAGGCGGGACCCTCTCGGGAGGACCGAACCAGGTGGGTTGACAGCAGACGGCTATGAAAACTGCTCAAACTCATGCAATCTAAGCATCGAAGTTTAAGGACGCACCAGTACATTATTACGACATATGTACAATTAGACTGACTTGCATTCCAACAAGAGCCAATTGCGCAGCATTACATTAGCGACTGAGAAACAACACACCTGTGGTTTGCGACAGAGATTCTCAGAGATAGAGTGAGAGATTTTTGTACCACGTGTGGGCTGGTGGTAAAAAAACAACAGAAGATCCTGCTCGAAGCGTCAAGTGTGAGCTGATGGAAAAACCAGAGAGTTCACTTGAGTTAAGTCATGTAAATAATAATAGACAGAGGGTTAGGCAATGTAAATAATAATGGACAACATTGTATTAATATTTTGGCCAACGATGGACAAATCGACCAGAAGACATCACTTTTTTTTTGGTACTCACGTGCAATACTCACGTGCAATAATCAGCATCAGCCCAAATATGGGGAGTACTTATTTGAGCTACATATCATATCAGCCTTATTTTGGGCTTCACCCGCCCAAATAAAGTCTTCTTCTTCTTCTTCTTCTTCTTCTTCTTCTTCTTCTTCTTCTTCTTCTACTTCTTCTTCTTCTTCTTCTTCTTCTTCTTCTTCTTCTTCTTCTTCTTCTTCTTCTTCTTCTTCTTCTTCTTCTTCTTCTTCTTCTTCTTCTTCTTCTTCTTCTTCTTCTTCTTCTTCTTCTTCTTCTTCTTCTTCTTCTTCTACTCTTCTTCTTCTTCTTTTTCTTCTTCTTCTTCTTCTTCTTCTTCTTCTTCTTCTTCTTCTTCTTCTTCTT